TATTTGTCGACTTATATTTTGTATTAACAATCAGAATCTGCAAAGTAAGTAGTAACTTAAGTTATCAAATAAATATAGTGGAGTAAAAAGTACAATATTTAGCTCCAAGATGTATAAAGTAGCATAAAATAAAATGGAAATACCCAAGTAAAGTACGAGTTCCTAGAACTTAAGTATTTAAGTACAGTACTTGAGTAAATGTACTTGGTTTTTGGGGACACTGGGTAAACAGAGTTAGTACCCAAATTTAAAATCCACAGACAGACTTTTGTAACAGCAAGCAACAATCCCTGTGGCTGTACTAAGAGTAAAACACACAGCAGGATCTGCATTGTAAACATACACATGCTTTTACAGTATTATAGTATAGACGTGGAGGATGGTGTGGGGGAGTGACGGTGTGTGGGTGGGTGAGGGGGTTGCTGGGATTGTGCTGGACAGAGACTGGTGACAGAACAACACACTGAGAATGGATCCATTGTCCCTCTGTCCACTTTACTGGGCAGCACTGGATATCTGCCATTTGCAAAACGAAAAAGAAACGATTGCATTCTGTATTTCTATCGCTCCACTAGACGGTGTTTACCTGAAGCATTTCACATTCTGGTCATTTATCTGTTGCACTTAGTTGTCTCTGACAAAGTGACAAGAAGTTCAATGTGTTAATCTAGCAAACGAGGTCTTAAACTTGTATTGGCCATGGACAAATAGATGGACAACAAATTACTAAGAGCAGGCTTAAAACTATACCTTGGTTTAAATGACAATGTGCCTGCTGCTCAGGTTTTTTCTAATTTTGCTGAGAGAAAAAATAGGAAAATATTTTCATTTGAACATCAAAGTCCCAATTTAAATTGCACAGTCAATACTCAAACATTTAACTTGGAGCATTACCAAAATTCAACTCAGTGAGACTTAAAAAAAAACATTCAAATTGACATTTCTTTCCTTTCAGAATGAAAATGAGATTGTATTTACTTATTAGGTTAATGCACACTGTCTATTAGGGATTATTGACCCAGTTCAGGATTTCATATCCACAGCCCTAACATGCTGCTGTCCCTGTGTTACATGGGATTTTTTATTCCCAAAGGTGCAACTAATCCCAAATGTGTCCTACTTGGCCTAAGTTCCCATATTGCACTCCAACTGCCATTTAGGGTGTGTTTGATATGTTTGATATGCACGTCCATTTTATGTTTTTTTACATCTTCTATAGCTTTTTTCCATTATAGAGCTTGAGTTTGTTCACAGCCATTTTGTAGAAATGAAACACTCATCTCAAAATGTATCACTATTAGTCTTAAAAAGCCGTTTCTGTGATTAAATGTCACTTCATCAGTATTCGTCCAATGACTGAAAAAACGGTGAATTGAGCACCACAAACATCTAAAGCGAGGAGAACTGTACATTTGTTCTTTGTAATGACAATTAACATGGCTGTGATGACAAAAAATATTGAACATGATAATTAGGTGATAATCCGTCACGGCGAGAACAATCTGAAACCTAATGTTTGCTTTTTTTTTTTGGTTTATTCAAAATATTTGACAAATGCTGTCACCAGTCTCCAGTCAATACATACTCAGATAAATGCATAGTCATCAAACAGAACAGATAGACCATTACTTATTTTCCTGTGTATCATTTTTGGCTGAAATCTATTAAACTGTGTTACAGCATCAAATGTATGATGAAGGATTATTAACCCCACATGTACGCCACACTGCTGTGAGATATCTGCCCCTTTAGTGTTGCCACTAAATGATCACATTAGTCAACTCTCTGGCGTTCTGTTACAAAGAAAATATCCGAACATGACGAACTCAAAACCCAGAAGAGAAAATACAAATAAAGAGTTTTGGCTCAGAGTGAAGCAAAACCCAGCAGCATTTTGACAATTTACAAATTTAAAAGTAATGAATAATAATTGTAGATTAGAAAGCAGCAGAGCTCTTACCTTATCAGCTGATCTGAAGCCAGTGAGGAGCTCAGAGTCGTCTTCTCTCCTCCAGCATTTGCTTTCTCTGCTGCTCTCCCTCCTCTTTCTCTCTCTCCATCAGCAGATTGGGTCTTTGGCATACAGAACCTGTGATTAAAGGGGGGGGGGGGGGGGGGGGGGGGGG